CACGAGTGCTGATTGGATCACATTTTCAAAAACGTCATTTCTATTTTTTGAATATTTTTAATTTAATGAGTATTTTATCTACTAGGTATTTGTAGTTTATAAGCATGGCCGGCTTTACCTCCTTGCCGCCCATGGGCCGCCTGTATTTTGCCGCCCTCTTCTCATTCATTTTGAGACATCAATAAAAACCATCAAGTGAATGTGCCGCGGCCGGAGGGAGAAGGGAGCATAATACGCGTTCACTCGTGTTGGACACATTTCCTGCGTAAGCCCTGTCAACATTACCAGCAAATGTTCACGGAACTTCGCGCGAAAGTTCAGTTCCGTGAACCTATCTCTGTGTGGACAAGGCCTTTCATTTGTAAGAAATGAACTAAAAAATTAAGAAAGATTAACTTCCGCCGCCGCGCCGTACCGCGCTGACCACACTGTGTTTGGCGCAATGCGTGAAGTATTCATGTAGTCTTGTAGGCACTGTGCGTTTCACGCCGCGCCGACCGCTGTTGACCGTACTGTATTTGACGCAATGCGTGAAGTATTCATGCAGTCTCGTAGGCGCTAATATGTGTTACATGCCGACCGCCGCGCCGAGGGCTTCTCCTTTTCATCTCAAGTCCTCGTCATCATTTCTCTCTGCGCCGCGCCGCTCCAGGCCAAGTTACGTGTTTGGTTTCTCTCTTAACTCAACTAATTAAAGGTGCGCAGTCTTTTGTATCACCGAAATACGACAAAATTAGAAGCTAATGAACTCTCAGGAAATGAGAGATTTTGTCACCTTTTCTTGTTCGTAATTTTATTCTGAATCCGATTTTTTTGTACCTGCATTTAAAAAAATTGCAAAATTTGCCGCCCCCTAATTTTGCCGCCATGGGCCGCGGCCCATGTGGCCACTCCCTTAATCCGGCCCTGTTTATAAGATATTTTTGCAAGTGTTTCCGGCCTCATTAGGTATTTTTCGTGCCTCTATTTCAATAATTTAATTAAGCCGAGTTATGAGTGCCTTTATGTTGTTTTTTTTATGTTCATAAGAATGTTTCTTTTCTAAGAATTGATAATTTTTATCATTTTTCGTTTTGCCACTTTTCACTTTTGCAATACCTATTCAAATATGTTTGCAGACTATACTTCGTGGAAAAGTCATCAAATGTGCGAGAGTGCAAGAATATTTTGACAATGTCTAAAACGACGAAAGATGCGACTGCCTCCTCCGATATGCTGTCCTCTTTTGTCGCAGAGCAATCTGTACCTCGCTTTACGGGCGCTAGAACGCGACTTTAACACTTTAACAAGGATGACAACGCAACGCCTGGATACAACTATTCGACTTCGAAGGATGTCCGTGTTGCATATTTCAAAATTGAAGGCGCGCTGATATCCTATTCGTTCACGGAAGTATAACGCAACGCACGACAATAATGGGACGTCATTAGGCGGAGGAAATCTATCTACAAGAAGAGTTTTGAAATGAAAGGAGGATAAACTACCCTATGAATTTTCTAACCTCCTATTTGTTAAGGGAAGAATAGTTGCATTCCGCATCTCACTTCTCGCATCGTAGTTGTAGGACGTTTCTAAACAGATCGGTTCTATTTACGAAAGCAGGTATGAAAACAACGTGTTGTCAGTAATAGTAATTAATAGTAGTATCCTCTTCTTATTTGAAAACTCTTCTTGAGGGTTAGATTTCTCCTGCCCGATGACACCTCAAATCATCACCGCGCGTCGCGTCATGTTTCGTGATGAACGTAAGGAATACCAATGCGCCTTCAATTTTGAAGTATGCAACACAAACATCCTCCGAGGTCGAATAGTTGTATCCTGGCGTTGTCAACCTTCCTAAATCGTTGAAGTCGTATTGTAGCGCCGGTGAAAAGAGATGCAGACTGCCCTTCGACAAAGAGGACAGTTCGTGGGGAGGAAGGGGACGTATTTATCGTGCGTCGTTTTATCTTAAAATTCGACGGTGTAAGTCGGCAATCACACAACTCAGTTTGCCACGTCGCAGACTTCCTGTCATACTTTATTTTTTAAACGAAAAACTGCTCAACGGCAATTCTTTAAAACTACCATGATTTTTCCTCTCTGTGCGAAGAAAATTCTGCAAAAACTCCAAGGCATGATGTCAATATGTTCTCCTTTTAAAAAAAATAACATAGAGGCGGAGCTTTTCAGACACGCACGGTAAACGAGATATGTGATTGCCGACATACACCGCCGAATTGTATTCTACTTATTGTTCAGAGGAATAGTCCACCGCTACAGTCAGAACAAATAGCACCACTCATCACCAACGCGGATTCGAAACAGAAGTCACTCATCGTAAACAACAAGTTAAAATTGGTAAAAACACACTCACTTGCGTAAAAATTGTTTTTAAAATAACGGCTGCATAAAATCCGTTATCTTAAAAACAATTTTTACACAAGTGAGTGTGTTTTTACCAATTTTAACTTGCTGTGAATTTTAATTTGTGTAGTCCCCTAACGGTTTTAAAAGTGAAAAAAAAAACCCCATCGTAAAATTTGTAGCTCGGCACGCGCCGCATCCCTTTTCGTCAACGGTTTACCCAACACGGAAGCTAGCGCGTGGGCGACGGGGTGCAGGACTGTTGCAGCTGGCTATTTTGGGGGATGAAGAAGGACGAGCGGGGGGAGTTGCAGTGGCAGTGGCAATCAGGAATAGAGGACTACAAATAGCACCTTCGGCGACGTTACGTGATCGCAGGGGATACTCAGAATTATCCCGCTTTTGGTGCAGAGGAATTTATACGAATTATGCCGTGTGTGCGGCAGCGACGCTTGCGCCTTTGGGTTGCCCATCTGTCTACCTTCCCGGCTCGGTTGAAAAACGCAGGTGGTGGGTGAGCACTGAGCAGTTCTGCCGTGCTAAGGAAAAACGCCGTATGAACAACAGAGAGTTGCCAAATTTCCTTTGATAAAATGTTTATTTTTGAGGAAGGTTATGAATATTTTTCCTTTACTTTTTCAGAATTTTTAGGTGAAATTGCGAACAAAATAATCTGAAGAATTGGGAGGAAAATATTCAGAATTTTACCAGGAAATTTACGTTTTATTAAAGGGAATTTGGCAACGCCTGAAAGTTCACACGGCGTTTTTCCTTAACGCGGCAGAGTTGAGCAGCACCCATCCGACCTGGAATACCTGGATGCCTCATGTGACGTCAACATTTCTACACTGTTCAGAGCGCTCGTCGCAAATTTGCACCATGGTCTGAAATGAGAGAGGACCTTTCTGTTTATTGCGAAAGTTTCATATAGTTTCACATAGTTTTCAGGAGCTGTTGAGAGCACATAGTTTTCAGGGGCTGTGGAGGCAACCCGTATACACGACAGTCGCGAGGAGAAATTCTAACGTCCGATTTATGATACTTTTTTCTTTCAGTGTATAGACCCTACGTAAAAGTGTAAAATGTGTGCACCATGATTGAAACACAAAGACTGTTTTTTCTTGTACCCCTAAATCCGAAAAAATGCTACAAAAATCAAAGACTTTTTTTTTAATCTGCATAACTTGGTTCCTCCTCTTGAACGCATAAATAGCGAAAAGAGTGCGCAGAGGCATGCAGAAACTTCGTGCACAGTTTGTGGTGCCGTTATAAACCAGTATACTCAAACAACGAAACCAATTAAATTCATAAAGATTTTCACGGCATTCCTCTAAGCAACGAATAGCACACCCCATTTTTATCCCCCTCCCCCTTCCAAAAAAAATTATAATTAGATAAATAGATTAAAAACTTGGTTCCTTCTTGTCGAACTTGGTCCATTCGAGGGGCTTGGAGGACAGGGCGCATAAGTGCAGTTTTTACTATTTCGAGAAATACGCGTTGGAAGTTTTGAAATTACATGGATCCTCATGGTGGAAAGAAAATTCCAACTGACCTTTTGATGCTTAAGAATCGGAATTTGGGAGCGTATGTTTCACAGAACATGGATTAAGACTAGTTGGACTGCATTTTGCAATTTGGAACTATAAATTCTGGCTCATCTGAAAAAAGACTTATGTGCACAGGAAAACGAATGGCACATACCTTGTTTTTAAACCGAGCCAGAATTTATAGTTCCAAATTGCAAAATGCAGTCCTGTTGTACTTGGAACCATTAATATCTCATTTTTTTCAAAATCTGCACTTATGCGCCTTGTTCTCCGGGCCCCTCATTTGCATTTTCTCAATGCAGGAACTGGTAAAAGTTAACAAGGAAATTTGAAGCGCAGCGACCAGAAAACCATCGCAAAACGCATTTCCATACTCTCGCCATCAATATGACGTCAGCCCAAAT